TTGACTTATGGGTGGATATAGCAATGAATAATATCACACGGATAATCATCGGTTGCTTTATGATTGTTTATTGCATTGTTGCTGTGCACGGAGTTTTGCAAATTAAAGTAATGATTTGCACGAAATTTATAAATTATTACTTTTTGCACCATTCTGCTTGTAATATTTTTTAAAAGAGGCATAAATATATTTATAGATTTGCGTAAGGTCTCATGAAATTTTATTTTTCGGAAATTTTAGAAGAACTTATTGTTCAATATATCATTAAAGTTTCGAAATTTGCAGGTTGGATTAACATCAGAAAAATTATTCTCATATGATTCACCATTGTTACCATTCGTTAAATTACAAACTGGAATTATTTTCAAAGAAGGTGGCCAAGTGAGTAGAATCATTGTTGACTTAGATCATTTGTTTATTTTCATTCAATAAACTATTAAATTCAAATTAACAGGAGCAAATTTCAATGGGCAATTTTTTTTTTTTGTTATTTGTGTAATTTTTCTTATTACTATGATTTGAAAGTCAATGTGTTTTATAATTGTCCTACTTTTCAAGAGTTTCCTAATCTCAATTTTTAAAAGACAAATTTAAAATTTTTACTTCCAATTTGAAAATTGCTAATGATTTTTACTTTTAAAGCACATCCTTATTTGACTGTTTTTTATAATTTTTTGTGACTAACATTTTTTATTCTTTTAAATTGCAAATTAATTCTTCAAATTTTAGTTAACGTTAGCATCCTTTGAATTCTTTGAAATTCTAATGATATCGTTTTGAGAGTGCTAGCAGTGATTGAGAAGTTTGAAAATGTATCAGAACTTGTTGCAGGTTGCCGTATTTATAAATAATCCTGGTGATATGCGGAAACCGGAAGTAATTCCGGAGATAATGCGATTGGTTAATGATTTTGAGCATGCTACAGGAAGTATTGGTTCCGCCAGCACTCATTTATGGTTCATTCCATATCTGTCATATGTAGGAATACAGGTATGGCTAATTGTATAAAAGTGGAATAAAGATAGTAAAATGAAAATAAATGTCTTCTTTTATTTACTATTTTACAGGAAAATAAAAAATGTTTTATTTTATTTGCAGGAACATGGAGAAATTGGTTTCAAATATAAATATTTGCCGGAATTTATGAAATTACGTGAATATCACAGCTGGAATTCATTTGTCAATTTGGGATCACCTGAGTAGATTTTTTTGTGATAAATTATTGATAAATTAAATTTGTTTTACAATGATTACAATGAAAATGATGATAGTTATTTTCATCTCTCAAAATTTTTGATGTTTATACTATCAGTTTCTATTAAATCTTCTATTTTTTGTTCCCTTCTTTCTTTCTTTTAGCATTTCCAAATCAAAATATCATTTATTGCAGAGATTGTAAAAATGAAAAACCAGCTTGTTTACAAAAATTCTTCTTTTCAACGGGTTTTCGAAATGCTGTACAATGGTCAGAACGTTTACAGTTGCTTCAGGAATGGCGTCATATTGCTGCTCGTTATCCAAAATTTAATGTTTCAATTCATGAACCATTCAGTATGTATGCAGATCAGGTATATTGATTATTGCTTAAAATTACATCGCAAATTTTTATAGTTGAGAGATGCTGATTGATAATTTTAGCATTAATGAATTGATTTGTGTAAAAAAGAAGATAAGAAATTATTATCATATCATCATAAATAAAGTCAATATCCATTTATAAATTGAATTTAATCATATTTTAACTTCAAAAAACGAAAAATTGTCCATATTCGATGGTTGTAAAACTTCCAAAATTGTACTTTACTGAAACATTAGCATCGTACAGTTTGGAAATAAAAATTTTTTCAATTATTAATTAATTTGATAAAATGAAACGAATGGAATTATTTTTAGCTGCTTACAATAGTTCCGGTAACAAAATCCACAGTGATATTTGCATTTGTTGTTATGGCACTTGTATTGACCACTTTTACACCATCAATAACAACAATCGTTTCGTCCACTCTTTCTATCATATCAATCAATTTGGGAGTGCTTGGTTCATTGACATATTGGAACATCGATCTTGATCCCATTTCAATGGCTACTATATTAATGGCTATTGGCTTCTCTGTTGATTTCATTGCCCATATTACATTTCATTATTACAAAGGTCAAACAAAGGTAACTTTATGCAAACTTTCAAACTATCTGTAATTTCTTTCTTAACATTTCAACATTTCTAAATTTTAGTTTATTAATAGATTTGTCCTTTTTTTTGTTCATTTTTAAAATAGTTTTAATTTTTCTCTTTTTAAAGGGTAAACGTGAACGCTTAAAGCATGCTCTTAAATCGATAGCATGGCCTATGACACAAGCCGGTATATCAACAATATTGTGTTTATGTGTTCTTGGTGTAATTCAAGCATATATGGTGAAAGTTTTTGTAAAGGTGGTAATAATCGTTGTCATACTTGGCCTTCTTCATGGTTTAGTTATTTTGCCAGTTGTTTTTGGTGCAATACCGTTGCGGAAACGAATTATTGCTGATGTTGACAAAATGTCAACAACTTCAGCCCTTCAAAAGGTTTTATTTCGTAATTATTTTTATTTACGGGAACTATATGATCAATTTATATTCTATAATTTTTAAATCGGAATACTAGAAAATTTTTTAATGTTTCAATAACAGCTAATTAAATTAACACTAAAAATAATAGGAAAAAAAATGGGAACCAATGAAAGAAATTACAGTATGAAAAAAAAAGGAAGAAAACTGAAAAAAAAAGTAGGAAAGATTTTAATTAGAATTTCATTATTTCTATTATTTCTATTGAATTTCATTATTTCTATTCTATTCTAATTTTGTTAATGCGTTTTTTTTTTTAAGTGGTCAGTTTTACAGAATCACACCATACGAATAGTTGTACCGGCAGTAACAATCAAAAAAAATGAACTGGAAAAGCAAATTTCAGCGGGTCCACGTTATCAAGATTCGAGGGGTTAAAATCATTTAATATTTTTCTTACGTTTTCTTTTTCAAATTTAAAGTGCAATAACGTAATATATAGTATTTAATTTAAAATACATATTGTTATTTCAAGGGAAGAAAATAATTTTCGGTATCTAAATATATTTTAATGTTTAGTGAGCATATATATATAAATTTCAATATAACAACTCAATTTTCACTTTCAATATAACTTATTTTTATGCTACACCTAATTTCAGTTCGTTGGCTATAGCCTTAACCTTTAGCAAGAACATCAATTAAAGCTAATGTATTTGAAATATTTCTGATCAGAAAAAAATTAATTGGGTATAATGGGACTTTACATATCTTTTTCCTTTTTTCTAATAATATTAGTAAAATGTTTAAGTAATAAGTAAAGTAAATAGTAATGCCTTGAATTTCTTTATATTATTTGCTCTCATTAGCATAATTCAGTAATCATTATTAATATATGAACTTCAGCAAAATGATTGTATTTTTATAAAATTATAAAACCTCATTGAAATGCTATTTTAGCAATAATTATCCATATTGATATTGTTGGATTGAATGAATCTTGAAAAATCATAGAATATCCATCATGCAAAGTTATTGTTTTTTGCTAAATTATTAATTTAAATATTACTTTCACTTTTGATACTTTCACTTTTTATCAATATCAAAGATACATGCACATCGTACTGTAATGTATCATACCGTAATCGAAAGCGTGATTTCTATTCCAATTTAATAGTACTTTGGAATAATCATCGAGCAGATAACTCGAGAACAAACGGGAAATATTACACTTTTTTTTCTTTTTCTTTTTTTTTTTGCTGAAGCACTTACAGTATTTTGTCTGTATTTTTACATTAAACATATATCTTTATCTGTTTTTTAATTATTTAACGATGTATGTATAAAAAGCTCAAAATGTTTTGTTTTATTTTAATATCGGTAAAAATCTAAATGAAATATGGTTGGTACTCTTTTGGCTATTTAATCTATAAAAAGATATTCTTATGATTTTATACAAATCTCTCCCTCTCTCATTTGCATGATTTTTTCATTTAATTTTGAAATAAAAAAGAGGAAATTTTTTTGATGAAATTTTATTTCCTTCCTAATTTCGAATTAAATTTCAAATAAATATTTTGGAAATAAAGATATGAATCATCACAAATATCACTATAATGTCACCTTTTGATGTTAGAATTACTACCGGGAATCCCACCTGTTGTTGATTTCTTAGGCAACGATGCATCAGTGGAATATGTATTGCAATGAGGGCACATCCATGTTACCTGCGCACATCCGCTCAATTGTTTACACCTGAAATTTGTCCTTTATAATTTAAAAAATTATTTTAAAATTTCAAAATTTAACTTTAAAAAATGATGATAGTTTACATCAAAAATATGACAAACATTATTATTAAGTAATTTAATAATTGGCTTTGAATTGGACAATAAAATTCTTATCTTTATTTAAAAACAAATAATTAACTCTACATTTTTACTTTTTAAAATCTAGCAATTTGATTTGAATTCAATAAGATAACTCACAATGTTCACGTATAAAATTGCTCAATTATTCGCTAATTACTTTAATTGATCAAATAATTGAATTTAAACATCCAATTACCAAAAAATGCGTGCAAATATGTCTAATAAAATTGTTTTCTCTTCTTCATTTTCAATATTTCCAATTTTTTATTTTTTTAAAAATTATATTTTCATTTAATTGATAGTGCTGACTTACATAAAGAATGCTTTTCTTTTGTATGACTAACAATCTGTGAAAAATGCGAAAAATTTATTACGAAAATAAATTGAAAAATTAAACTTTAAAGCAAACGAGATTAGTAAAGAACCGGTAAAAAGATTATTATTTTGTCTGAATATATTGAATGATTAATCGAAAATTCGTTTTACTTTTTTTTTTTAAAAGTAATTCATGCAATTACTTTTTCTATCCAATGCTCAAAATAATTAAGAGCAATTGTAATGAAATATTAGATGCAATGATTACAGTAACAATGGTGATAATAGTGGTTATAATGTATTGTATTAATATTATAAAGTTCATTCGTCAATGAAAATTTATAATATTAAATGCTCAAAATATTATATTTTTCTGTTTTTCTAATGCTAAGTTTATAATTAATAAGTAAAAAAAAAGAATTAATACAAAGAGATATTCATATGCTAATAGCTTGTAACTATTAGATCAAATAATTGTAATGATACCTTTGACAGGTATGTGATCTCATTCCTGGATTCTTTAGCAATACTGTCAAACGATCCAACATTGCAGCACGAGCTCGAACTGATAGGCATTCGTCTGCACGAAAAAAAAATGGATTTTTTTTTAAAACTTCCTTGTTAAAAGCTTTAAATTTAACTTCTTTTTCAAAAAAATTATTAATTAAAAGAACGGTAAGATAAAAAAAAATGCTAACAAGTTTGTTGTTGAGTCATTTCAAGTAAATGTTCTGGCCGATGAAGCATTTGAAGGCAAGGATCAAGTAAATGATGAAGGAAACATCGATCCAATAATGATAATCTTACAAAGACTGATAACTAAAATTGCAAGGATATTTCAGAAATGAACGTTTATCAATGATAAAAAAGCATAGAAATATAGTGATAACATTTTAAAATGCTTATTGCAAATATCATTTCAGTGACACAGTAATTGCGAAATAATTGAGCAATCTAAGTTTTGCATTAAATTTCAGTAATTTTTGATTTTAATTTAGAATCTTAATCGGGAATATTTTCAAATTTCATATTTTTTTTATCATAATTCAAAATTTTCAAAAAATCAATCACAAATTTAATATGATCGTTTGAGTAAACTCAATTAAATGAACGAGAAAATTTTCAGTAATTTTTGCTAACCTGAGTATGAGGTGCAAGAAGCAACATTGCGCACTTCCTCAATAAGCCCGATGATTCCATCTTACATGCTGCTATCAGTACTGGTCCTATATTAGCTTCTGCAATTAGATAAATCATTAAATTAAATTTAAAAAAAAAAATAAGATGAAAACTTAATAATCATGTTTTAAAGTGTGAAACTAAATCAAACCATTTCTTCCCTCTCAGATCTATTCAGAATCGAATTTAATTGAATTCATATCATACAAACCCGTTATCCTAAGCTGCGGTGGATAAACTGCCATCAGAAAAGCTTTTAATTCTTCATGCGTACACGGACAAAATATTTCATCCATACTTTTTATCGATGATATACGTTCCTAAATCGAATTTTTTGAAAAATTAATCTTCATTTTGTCTTTTATCATATTTCAGAATTTAAATAAAAATTTTAAGGAAATAATTTTAATTAAGCTTAAAAATCAAATCATTTAAATCTGCATTTTTTCTTTAAAAAAAAAAGTTTATTTTTGAAAAATTAAATAAGTAATGTTAAATATTTTACCAAGAAAACGTTCGACCATGCAGCAATGTAATATGGATTGACGTAATAACCACGACCGGTTTTAGTACGAATCATTGCAAAATTTAACTCTGTGAGACGATGGAACTGTTCCAAGTCACTAGGCTGTTCCAACATTTCCTGTACAGACAAATATCTATCACTTTATCACATTATCATCTTATCATTTTTATCGAAAAATGTAAGCATAAATGAAATGAATGAAAATTTCCACGGCTTTTTTCTCACTTTTAAAATATGCAAAAAGGAATTACTAAAATTTGAGAAAAAATTTTAAAGAATTTGCAAAAATTTATGTAACCTCAGGTGCTGGAGAGCCATGTAACCTTTCTAGTAACAATACTTTGACACGATCACTTAAACCGTAATAACGGCTACCCGTAAGATCAATTTTTGAATTGGGCCTCATCTCTCGCAAACATAATACCAATAACCGATTTAATTTGTATCTGAAATTAATGGATCCTCAAAACCAACTGGAAACAATATGGAATGTAATACAAATAATTAAATAAATTTAAATCAACAAATAAAATATTTCTTACTGTTAAAAATATTAATTTAAATTAAATAAGGACAAATTTTAAAGAAAATGAAGAAAACTTATGCAATTATTTGAATTATTTTAACAATTAGAGACTAATTATCTATCTCCCGTAATTAGGAATACCTGTCTGCTAGCCATACTTTTTCCAAGAAAGGCAATTTATGTTGTACAAGGAAGCATTCGCAACGATGCAAAAGTCCATCCATCTAAATTTTTTTGCATTTAATTTAAAACAAAAAATATTAAAAAATGTCCTACTATCTAATTTACCATTCGGAAAAAATTAAAAAATAAATATAACTGGATAGTCTAATATTTTTCAATATTTTTTCACTGAAATAAAATTTGGAATAACGATAATGATGATGATGATGATGATGATGATGATTTCTCGTAATCATCTTAAAAAAAAATTCACTTTAAATTTCAACCAAAGTTGAAAACTTTGAAAAGCGCAAAAAAAAATATGAATGTCTTCTATTTCTAACTTACTAAAAATAATTCATAACGCTAATATTTGAACAGTAAGGAAATAAATTTGAACATAAAATTTAAATGAAATATTTGCCTGATAGTCAAAAGCAAGTGGTAATAGAATATGCACAGATTGATCATCAACTTCCTTATAAGTTGGATGTATACAATGAAGCATTTCGAGAACATGATCGTATTGCACATTTGCCAGTATAAGCTCACGATCAGGACATTCAATACACCAGGCTCTGAAAACAAAAAATACAAAATAAAATATTTCCAAAATTATTGGACAGTTTATTTTTTAATTGAATCGCTTTTTTTTTTCTTTTCATTTTAGCAGACATGGTTTGTACACTGAATGATTTCGATTTTTTTTAATTGAAGAAAAAAAAAGATTTGTTTTACTTTTTCAGAGAGGCAAAAGAATGAATTCTCAAAAATGTTGAAGTAATATTAAAGTTTTTTTTTTTTTTGCTCAAAAATTTTTAAGAGATGACGAGAAGTTGAATAATAATGAAATATGTTTAAATTTGCTCAGTTATAGGATGAAATTTACTTCGCATATTAATTTTAGTAATTTTACTAATTTTACTTCGCATACTAATTTTAGTTCGCATATTAACGCATACCAATTCAAAAATATTTAGTAAAATTTATTGATAATTTAAATGATGTTTTTAAGCAAATCAAATTTAATTCGTGTTCATTTCAACGATTTCAATCTAATTTTATCAGATTTTCTTTTTCCTCCAATATTACAGCTTCTTATATTTTACATTTAAATTTCACTAGATTTTAATTTATACTATTTTATCTTGCTACTTTATTTCACTTTTTATTTTTGATAATTTTTAAGTTTTGCAACTTTTTTTTTTGATTCCAAATAATATTAAATTTTCAAAAATTTATCAACTAAAATATTTATCACATCAATATTATTTATGCTCACATAACTTTTTTTTTTCATTTTTTCTTTTTAAAATTTACATGCTTCCTCGTAAAAAAAAAGAAAAAAAAAACGAACCGTAAAACGGGTGACCATACAGAAATATAATGTTCATCCACATATAACCGTTTGCCATCTACCAGAAGCGGTCGAGTACGTTGACCATCCGGTCGTGTGAAATCAATTATTACTTCAATTGAATTTGCTGCTGTTCTATCACATTTCTCCATTGCACTCTATAAAACAATCCGAATAAACTAATTACTATCTTTACTCAATTTTAAATTAGCTAAAACGAGCACTGTAATTTTTTTAACATTTTTCATTCATTAAAAAAAAAAAATTTTAATAGTGATTATCATTTTTAGTAAATTTTAAGAACAGTCATACTTTTTTTTTCTAACATTTGTTATTGACATCTTACATATTAGTTTATTTATTTATTTAATTATTTTATTTCGCCTGACAAAGAAAAATATATTTATTGATTAGGAGGATTTGAATGAGACAGTTATGCGTGAATAGCAAAAGAATTAGGCTTGGCAAATGTTTTGGTAATAAAATGAAGAAGCAAATGGAAAAGATTGTTGCAAAATATATGAAAGGAAAGTTATTTCGTTTATATTAGTATTTTGAAATGTATAATAAAGGAAAATATAAAATTCTCAATTTCTTTCTTTTTAATAAAAAAAAAATTGTTAATGAATTTATTAATGAAAAAAAATTAATAATGAAGTTATTTATTACGCTAAGAATTAATTTATTTATTTTGTTCTGCTTAAACAGCATTTAATTATTTTAAATGTTGCAGTGTTTTTTGTCCCTTTGTTTTTAGAATGGAGAGAATGCTTATGCTTATTTATCAAGTTATAAAATAAATTTATAATTCAAGAATGATAAGTTATATTGAAGAATTGCATTATTGATCTGATGAGATGAATTATAAAAAGCCTAAAAAGCTTTTATGCAAAAATGGAAAAGGAAGAATGAATGATTTTCTTACATTTATTTCTTTCATGTTTTCAAAATATGAAATATTGTAAGTTGAAATTGGAGGAGAAAAAAAGCTTCAGTTATTAATCAAATTGATATTGAAATGTAACAATCGAAGGAAAAAAAAATTCAATTAAGAATGATATGAATATATAACTTTGGATATCCAACAATAAAATTTGATTATTCCTCTTTCAAGTATATTATTATTCCTTCAAACATTTTATGCATAAATTTGAAGTCAGGAAGAGAAAAAAATTAATAGAATTTTAAAAGAAAATAATATAAGCATTTGAAAGCATTCAACCAAATTATTTGAATATGCCAATGAAATGAGACGAAAATGTTTTTTTTTTCTTTCCACAACTAATCATTAAAGTATCGAATAAAACTAATGTTTACCATGCATTACATCAATTTGGGAATAAACTTGAGTGAAAAACTTTGCAATATGCCCTTGTTCAATAGGTAATCATTTATTCAAGCATTAAATTAGCGAAAGCTTATAAGGTCGATGCTAAATTCATATAAACATCTACGTGATAAAGACATTTTTCTTTTAAAAAAAAAGATAATTTATGAAGAAGATTGTTAAAAGAATTAAATTATTAGAAAATAAAATTATTCAAAAATTTTAAAATTCATTTTTTTTAAAAACTAGGAAAAAGAGAAATAAATAAACCTAATGTTCGAAATTTTTGAGATACCAAAAAGAAAAAAAAAATAAGCTAATAAGTAATTGTTTAAATTAAGAAATAGGTAACGAACAGAAATAATTGAAAATGAAAATGACAGATATATTTTCATATTCATTTTTCATCAGTTATTTTCACAATCCAATGGATTAGCAAATGGAAGAGAGGAGAATGGATGAAAATTGAGTAAATAAAATATTCAAAATCCGAAAATGAACTCCCAAAAGTAATGAATAATTTGTGGATTTCTTTTTTTTTTGCTATATATAACTTTACAATTTTAAAATATATAAAAGTGAAAGAAAAAAGTGGTTATTTGAGATGTTGCTAATAATGCACAAATAATACTTAATGTAATATTGTAAATCGATTTATCCGCTAAATAGTGATATATCTTAAGCTTAGATAGATAAATCTAAGAAAAGCGGAAGAATAATAGTTCGATAATGAAAGAGATAAAAACAATTAATGATTGAAGTAGAAGCATAATTTATATCCATGTTATACTAGAAGAACCAGTATCGATATTAGAGCAGAAAGTTAGTTAGCTTTTTTTTTTTTCAATTTTCAAATTTCTAGCTAATCCATACTTTCTAAGCTTCTAGTTTTACCTATAGGAGAGAAAAAATAAAGCAAATTTTGATCATACCTTATCAGGCGATGATAAAGAATAGTTACCAAAGGCTGGCCTAGATGAAGATGGCTGTAAATTGAAATAGTCGCAATCATCGTTATCGATCATAATTTTAGCTTATGCGATATTTTTAGCTATCAGAAATGTATGATTTGCCGAAATGAATGTCATCGATTGATAATATCAGTTTATGAATAATTTTTACAGGTGTAATTACAGCTGGAAATAGTTGACGGATTGTCGATATGCATTTTTTTTTTTTTATTCAAAAGAGAAAAAATTCTTCAAAAAGGAAGTTTTCGTAATATTTTCGTGCAGTTCATGCATTGGACGCATCAAACCATATCGTTATCAATTAAATGATGCTTTTACAATTGATCCTTCAATTTTTTCACTTAAATTAAATTGATTTAAAGATTACTTCATTAAATACTTTCAAACAAATCCATTTCCTCTGAACATTCAACAAATTCATACTCATTTTGTCTCAATAATATAATACATAGGCATCATGCATGATGATAAAATTTTTAAGAATTAAAAAAAGCAAGAGAAGGGAAGGAGCAATTCGATAATTTAAAAAAAAAAAAAATACAACATGGAATTTCATTGAAATCAGTTTATTATCCAATTTGAGCAACATAATTGTTATAATTGTTTCAATAGACTGAAATTCGGTGTATAAAAAAAAATTCAAAGTCCAACTGTCTATCATTCGCAATCATTGCAACAAATTCACATTATATGGAAAGCAGTATTCTAGCAAAACAATCATTGTACAAAAATATTTTCAATATTTTTAATTCTCAATGAAAACTATTGAAAACATACACGAGAATGAGTGGAAAAGATGGAAGGGAAGAGTGGAGGAAAAAATATTCATTGGCTGTTGAAAGTCTGCCTATGTCCATTTTAGCGATAACAAACAATCGAAATTTATTACAAACTTCATGGCTATACTCGGTACATATGTCTGTGTATGTGTACGTCTGTCTAGTATGTGTGTGTATGTCTTTATATGTGTGTATCTGTCTATGCATGTGTGCATGTCTGTGTATGTGCTTATGTCTGTGTATATGTGTATGTTTGTGCATGTGTGTATGTTTGTGTATGTGTGTGTGTGTGTGTGTGTGTGTGTGTGTGTGTGTGTGTGTGTGTGGTGTTAATTTATTTATGTTTGCTTGAAAATAAATTGAAATGATGAAATCTGTTAGTATGAAGAAATTCATAAAAATAAAGGCTGAAACTTTTGCAGTTAATTAGACAAGATGTTTGATAGCAAAGCAGGATAAGTGTACACAAATGGCATCGTCAAGATCGATCAACATGCCAATATATGGACATTTGAAAAAAAAAATGAAAAGGAAAAAACGGAAAACGAAAATCTTGGACTTTCACTGAGATACGCATAACACACACACACACACACACACACACACACACACA